AATCTATTTGGCAAATCACAGATTACTCTCTTAGGCTGAATTTCCAAAAATGGAACAACGGGCTCACATTTTAATTTCTGATACAAAGCATAAAGGTGCCCTTGAAGTAATTACGTATATGCAGCCTACCATGTCTGAGGGTGCTCGTTTCCGAACATCCTTGCTCACATTGGTTATTACTATTTTCTATGCTTTGGTGATTTTATACCATGAAAGGTTTTCAAGGGAGGATGGAAAATTGGAATCCCAGGGACAATGGTGTTTGAGATTTTAATTTCTGATCCAAAGCATAAAGGTGCCCTTGAAGTAATTACGTATATGCAGCCTACCATGTCTGAGGGTGCTCGTTTCCGAACATCCTTGCTCACATTGGTTATTACTATTTTCTATGCTTTGGTGATTTTATACCATGAAAGGTTTTCAAGGGAGGATGGAAAATTGGAATCCCAGGGACAATGGTGTTTGAGGAAGGGTCTAGAGGGGTGCACAGGAAAGATGCCAGGCAAGAACAATGGGAAGTACACAGGCAAGAGACCAGTTACTGGATCTGACACATCAAAGAGGTTCAAACAGGGGACTCCTCGTGGCTTTTAGCTCTGAGATGCTTCTGATGGGGAAGAAATCCCAATCAGAAAATAAAACCTCTTGATAGGATCCCTATTCTTTTTTTTTTTTAATTTCCTTTTTTTAATAGAATTATTTTATTTAACTTTATTCATTTTAATTTGACTGAAGAGGAACAGAGAGAGAGAGAGACAGAGAGCGAGCAAGCTGCCAGGTCCAGGACCCTACTCTTTTTCTTTCGTGACAAGAAGCTATTATCTCCCCTCCACCGCCATTTTTTTTTTTAACGTTTATTTATTTACTTACTTATTCAGAGAGAGACAAAGAGAGAAAGAGACAAAAACTCCCATCAGGGTCTTTATGCTGTGCCCCACCGGCAGTTAGTCAGCTCTGGATTGTGGACACACGTGTACCTGGTGTGTTCTGGGAGGTCGCCAGATGCGAACCTGGAACCTCTCCATGTGAGTCAGCCTCGCAGAGCTTACATTACAGCTGTGCCACCAACCAGCTGCCCAGCGCCCCTTCTGATCAGCCTGTTATGCTCTCTGGGTTCCCGGACACCTTTCTGTTACCATCAGGTCTGCTGTGACTAATTACTACACACTCGATGATGTAAAACAACAACACGTTTTCTCTCTCACAGTTCTGGAGGGCAGAAGTTGAAACAAAATATCTGCAGAGTGAGCGCCCTCTGGGGGGCTCAAAGGGATGGTGCTTCCTTGCCAATTCCAGATTCTGGTGGTGTCAGAACTTCCTTGGCTTGGGGCTGCACCCCTCCAGTCTCTGCCTTTATCTTCAAGGGGCCGTCTAGCCTGTGTGCCTTCGTTTCCTCTACCTCTTATAACACTTGTCATTGCATCTAGGACCCATCTGGATAGTCCAGGATGAATTCATCTCAACATTAAGATCTTTAGGGGCCAACAGGTGGCATGGTGGTTCAGGTGCTGGACTCCCACATGGCCAACCATGGTTTAAGTCCCGGACCTGGTGACTTGGTTTCTCACTTTCTCCTTCTTTCACTCTCTCTGTTTCTTTGGTTAAATTAATAATAATAATAACAAAGAAAATTAAATAAAGAAATAATTTTTAAAAAGATATGATCTTTAATTACACCTGCAAGGACCCTTTCCCAAATAAGGGTGCATTCTCAGGTGCTGGGTAGACTTATCTTTCATAGATAAACCATGGTTATCACCATTTCCTCATTGGAAATCCATTGGAAATCACCTTTTGAACACAATCGCATGTCCTACTGTTCACCAGGCACGATGGACTTTCTTTATTTTCTCAAAAAGCAAAAACGCCTTCTCTTTTGGGGTTTTGGACATGCTGTTCTCTTTGCCTGATATCTTCTTCCCCAGTGTCACAATTTCTCTTCATCTGGATGATCTGCCTTCAGATCTCAGTTTAAACCTACACCTCTGTGTTGCTCCTGCCACCTGTACTTCCTTTGTTTTGTGATATCACCATTGTAGATGTACACTAATTTGTTTGGCTGTTGGTTAAAATCCATTTTTACCATTGGACCACAAGCTCCATAGGGCAGTTTTTCTTTTGTTTTGTTTTAAGGTTTTTGCCATAAGGCATATGGGCTCTCCAGAGAGACAGAGACAGTGAGTGGGGAAGTGAGAAATCACTCCCTGGGAGGTGAGGTGGGAAGGATGGCCACAGCTCAGTCTCCTCCATTCCCCTCTTGGTGATTTTAGGCATACACACACATGCGCCTGGTGTGATTTTCAAGCCACCAGGCCCGGGACTCGAACTGTGGTTAACCATGTGGGAGTCCAGCTTCTTAACTCTTGCAGGAAAACAGATGCCAAGGAATGGAAATGGCACTCAGGAGAGACAGGAGAACTCTTTTCTTACATTGGTGGGTATGGAGGAGTTAATACTCTGAATCTCCAGCCTGACTGGGGGTTGGATATGGTCTTTTATGGGGGAATTGGGGAGGGGAGGTCTCAGGATGTTAGGAATGGGGATGGGACTCAGACCTGCCCTAAAATGGTGGTGGCAGAAAAGCAGGAAGTCTAACCTATTCAAAGTTTCAGGTTACCCAGTAGCTCCAGGGAGGGGCAGTAGGTTTGCCAGAAGACAGAAGCCTCAGGCAGCTATCAGCCCTGAGTTATTCATGAATTCAGGGTCTCTCCATATCATAACTACCACCCCATCTGGGCCCCAAATTTTTTTTTTTTCTTTTTTTTTTTTTTTGAGAAGTTTTTGCTATAGGGCATGTGCGCTCACCAGAAAGACAGAGAGAGACAAAGAGATAGAAAGCAAGAAATCCCCCCCCCCCCCCCCCCCCTGCAAGGGGCCAGCCACACCACAATCCATTCTCCTCTTGGGATCTTGGGCATGCACACACACATGACTGACTTGAGTTTAAGCCACTGGGTCCAGGACACAAACTGCAGTCAGCTACATGGGAGTTTAGCAACATAACCATTATGCCAACTGCTGGTCCCAAATGTTTTGGTTATAATGCTTAGCATTTTCTCCCAGGGCTCAGCACCGGTCCTAGTACATACTAAATGCTAAAAAAGTATTGGTGGAGAAGCCAGCAGGTGGTATAGTGGTTACAGCACTGGATTCCCACATGGCGTACCACGGTTTGAGTCTCAGACCTGGCAACTTGAAACTCATGCCACACATGCCGAACATCCTAGAAGACTGGAGGAGAAGGGATTGTGGCATGGCCACCCCCTGCTCCTCCAGGGTGATTTCTCACTCTCCATCTCACTGTCTCTCTCCTCTCCAGTGAGCTCATGTGCCTTATGGCAAAGACTTTTTAAAAAAATGTTGGTGGAGTGGCTGTTGATTAACAGTTAAAAGCTCCCATTTATTTAATCTGCTGTGAGCCCGACTCTAAGCATTTTACATGTGCCATCTTTCTGAATCCTCAAGGCAGCATCACTTCCATTTTTAAAAATTTAATTAAATTAATTAATTAATTTATTTATTTATTTATATTTGACCAGAGAGAGACAGAGAGGGAGAGTAAGAAAGCACGTCACCAGGTCCAGGACTCGAACCATGGTCAGCCAGCATCCTTAACCACCACGCCCCCGCTGGCCCCAGGCATTTTTTCCATTTTAAGAGAAGAAAACTGAAGCTCAGAGAAGCAAAGCCACCTGCCTGAAGTTGTCATCACAAATTCCATCTCAGGCTCTAAGACGAAATTTGGGTGGGAAATGAATTGTATTCCCCACCCCTCCAAAAAAACATATTGAAGTTCTGACTACAATACCCCAGAATATGCCTTTGTTTGGAAACAGGGTAACTGGAGATTCATTAGTTAAGATGAGGTTATACTGGAGTGGGCTGGTGTCCTACGTGGAGGTAGTCACTTGAAGACGGAGCACAGGGAGGAGATAGCCATGTGGAGATGGAGGATGGAGTGATGCATCTACGGCCCAGGAACACCAAAGATGGCTGGCAAAGCACCAGAAGCCAAGAAGAGGCAAGGAAGGGCTCTCCTCCCAAGTTCAAATGGAGCATGGCCCTACCTATGCCTTATTTTTGGACTTCTAGCCTCCAGAACCGTGAGGCAAGTCATCAGCTTGTGGTGCTTTGTTACAACAGCCCTGGGAAACTCACATGGGAGCCAGAAGTTTACTAGAAATCAATTCCTGGGGGACAGCAGGTGGTGAGGAAGTTAAGGCACTGGATCCCACATGGCCAACTGAGTGGCCTGAGTCCTGGACCCAGGGTTTTGAAAATCATGCTGGGCGTGTGTGTGTGTGTGTGTGTGTGTGTGTGTGTGTCCAAAATCCCAAGAAGAGAATGTAGGAGAAGGGAATGTGGCATGGCCATCCCCCAAAGGGTGGTGATTTCCTCCTTTCTCTCTCTTTCTGGAGAGTGCACATGCCCCATGACATAAAAGAAAAAAACATAAAAGAAAAAAAAAAAGAGAAATAAATCAAGGCCGGATGGTGACACAGCAGTAAAACGTGACACTCTGTGAGGCTGACCCACTCAGGAAGATTCTGGGTTTGTGTCCAGAGACTTCTCTGAATATCCAGGTGCCCACATGTCCATTACCCAGGGCTGGTTGAGGCTGGGGCTGGATCACAACACAAAAGCCCTGTTCGGGGATGCTGTCTTTCTCTGTCTCTCTTGACCATGCAAAGAAAAATAAGCTTGAAAACAAAACAAAATAAAGAAGGAATCAACAGTGTGGAAGGGCAGAGGAGGAGGCAGGACAGGGCGGAGGGAGAAGCCACTTCGCGCTGCAGGCCCGACGAAGCTTCAGCCCATCTAATGAGAGCTCAGGAGAGGGTGCCACTCCTCAGGGTTGTTTTAAGCAGTCGATCAATCATGGCCATGCCTTGCTCAGTTCCTGGATCCAGGCATGAAGGGCATGAAATTGGATGGGGTGGTTCTCCATAGCTGAGCCAGACCCAGGAGAGACAGGAGAACTCTTTACTATGTTGGTGGGCATGGAGGAGGAGCTGGCAGCCAGCAGCTTTCGACTGACCCACCTCTCAGAGATGGCCTGCCAGTCCTCCCTGAAGCAGGACCTGTCCAGCCCACTGCAGTCACACTGTTAGAGGCCCAGCTCTGGGACCAGAAGCCAAGGCTATTCCCAAGAGCCTGCTCTCACCCCTCCCTGGAGTTTCTGACTTCTCTGCCCTCTTCCTCTCTCCACCCACTGCCCTCCCGTCCTCTCCTCCCCCAGCCTTCCTCCTTGCCTCCCAAGCGATGCCAACAGCTGCCGAACTGACCATCACGCCAATTCCATCTCAGCCATTGGAAGGAGACAACGTTACCCTGTTGGTTCAGGGCTTGCTTGAGGGTGAGATCCTGTCCTTCAACTGGTTTAGAGGAAGTGGCACAGAGCTGTCCCAGCAGATCATAACCTTCCGGGTGCTCTCAGGGGGCATCACACTCGGCGCTGCCCACACGGGCAGGGAGACGGTGAGCCCAGATGGGTCCTTGCACATCACTGGGCTCAACCTCACCGACACCAGCCCCTACACCCTGCGGAAGATTATGATGGACATGAACCAACCGACATGGAATGTCTACTTGTCTGTGTTTGGTGAGTGCAAAAACTCCACTCCCCAACAACCAGAGGGTTCTTCCCAGCCTCTAATCTATGTCTCTTCCTTGCTCAAAATTCTTCCATGGTTGGGACCAGCAGGTGGCATAATAGTTACATCGATGGACTCCCATGTAGTCGACCGTGGTTCAAGTCCTGGACCCAGTGGCTTAAACTCACGCCTGGCATGTGTATGTGTTTGTGTGCCCAAGATCCCTAGAGGAGAATGGAGGAGAAGGGATTGTGGTGTGGCCATCCCCCCTGGGGGGTGATTTCTCGCTTTCTGTCTCTTTGTCTGTCTTTCTGGCGAGTGCATGTGCCCTGTAGCAAAACAAAAACAAAAACAAACAAACAAACAAACAAAAAACCTCTCAAAAAAAAAAATTCTTCCATGGTTGGGACCCACAGGTGCCATAATAGTTACGTCTATGGACTCCCGTGTAGTTGACCGTGGTTCGAGTCCCAGACCCAGAGGCTTAAAACTCAAGCCAGGCGTGGGTGCATGCATGCCCAAAATCCTGAGAGGAGAATGGAGGAAGAAGGATTGCAGTGTGGCCACCCCCCGGGGGGGGGGGAGGTGATTTCTCGCTTCCTGTAGATCTGTCTCTCTGGCAAAGACACGTGCCCTATAACAAAACCAAAAACCAAAAAACAAGAAAAACAAAAACAAAACCTCTTTCATGGCTCTCTGGTGCCTTAGGGATAATACATATATTTTCTGGGGGTATTTTGCTGCTGCCACAAAAATTCAAACTAATAAGGACTATTTTTTAATCATTTATTTATTTTGACATTTTCCTTTTTTACTTTACCTATCAAAAAACTTTTGTTCTTACTCCACAGTTCTTGACAGTTCATGAACAACTTTCAAAATTTCAGAAAACTGAATTTTAAAGATAATGCTCAAAATGTTTGTTGTAATTTTGTCTGTGACTCTGTAACCACAGAGACGGTATGGTTTTAACTATTTTGGAGAAAATATTTATCTATCAACTACTCAAAGTGTTGAAAAGCTAACACCCAGCACACAAACACTAACAGGGACTTAAAAGATACATGTGTGTCCCTCTTTCTCTCCCAGTCCGTGTGTGACCACTTTTGGTGGCTGTGGCTGCACAGTCGTGTCGGAGGCTCGGCTTTTTCTGCCTTACTGCTCCACCATCTTCAGGGAGTCCTCCTTGTTTGTATGGACCAAGTTGGCTGACCATCGCGTCCCCATTCCGGCCCTGGGGGAGGGGGACGGGAAGGGAAGCCCCTCCTTGTGAGAACATGAGTCTTATGCCTGCTCTGTGGCGTAGTGGTAATGCACTGTTCAAGCGTGTGGATCCGTGCAGATGATCAGGGTTCAGTTCCCGGGTCAACCTGTGTACAAAGGCATTTTCGCCCGTGGTCCTGGCAGAGCAGGCATGGGGGAGAGAGTTGTGGTGTGAGACCTTGTTGAGAGAGCTTATTTCTCCCTCCCCATCTCTCACTCTCATGAAGAAATCAGAACACTTAAAACGAGAAAAGAACATGAGTCAGGACTCGCGCTCACAGCCAGTGGGCCAGAATGTAGTCACGTGGCTACGAACAGTTGCAAGGGAGGCTGGGAAATACAGCTTTTATTCTGGGTGGCCCTTGCCTAGCTAAAAATCAGGGACTCTATTGTTATGGAAGAAGAGGGACTGGCCGTCTCTGTCAGGGTAGGGATGGAAAACAGAAGCCTCTGATGGGTTAAGAGAAAATCGGAAACAGAAGCTATGGGTTGACCTCTGTCCTAGCCTTAAGCATTTTATTCTTTTAGTTTAAACTTTCTGTTGTGACTGGGATTACTCTTGGTAAATTGTGATTTTCCCCCCCAAAGAATTATTTATTTATTTAATTCTAATAGTTATTAAAATTAGTTTTATTATTTTAATTTGACCAGAAAGAGACAGAGAGAAAGGGAACGCGAGAAAGCAAGCCGCCAGGCCCAGGACTTGAACTGCTATTGGTCATGTGGGAGTCCAGTGTCCTTAACCACCACGCTACCTGCAGGCCCCAAGTTGTGATTTTTCTAAATGATCCATTTTATCTAATTTCTCTTATTTGTGCACAGTAGTCTCTTATGACTTTAACTCTTTTTTTCTTCTTTTTCTGTTTTGAAAATCATTTTCTTCTTGTGGGCATCTATTCTTCAGAATTTTTTTTTTTTATTTTTTTATAAGGGAACAGTGAAGGCAGGGAATCTTGCAGGAGAAAGGGAAACTGCTTTCCTGGATCTGCAGATGCTCCCTCTGTGCTTCGAGGGCCGGAAAGGCCGAATACCGAGCTCACGAGGGATGAATGCAAAGACCCTGGGCCGGCCGATCCCAGGAGGAGCATGCCCACTGTGTCCTGTCCTCTGTCCTTGCCAGGACTGTCTCGGTCACTGCCGTGTCTCCAGTCCTGCTCAGCACCAGGCTGGACATTGGACAGGTGCTCCAGGAATGTGTGTTAATGGATAAACAAGAAGAAGAATGAATGGAGGGCCCAGATATTCTGGCTGCTATTCATCCCTTGGTTTCCCTCCTTCCAGGTCCCCTCCGCCAGGAAGTCGGCCCTGATCTCAATCTCATAATTACTTACTGTCTCCCTCCTCCGATACTCATAGTGTTGGGGGTGGAGGGGTGGGACCAACTTGGTCTTGTTCTCACTGCATCTCTTCCTCCAGGAAGCCCTCCCTCAGCCTCCACATTGGGTCAGGAGCCCCCTCTGGGCTCCCCTATCTCAGCCTTACCTGCTCTGCTTGTCCCTGTCTGAAGAGGTCTCTGTTCTCCCACTGGACCAGGACCCTCAGGAAGGAAGGCAGGGCTGGGCTGTCCCTGCTGTGCCCAGAGCAGGTGCCCAGAGAGTGTTCGTGACCGATGAGTGAATGAACAAGCCTCGTCGCACACTGACTAGCGCTCTGCAGAACTTGGCGTTGATTTCTAGCTTCTGCAAATCTGGGAAAGAGCAGCACAGAAGTGTCTGGGAAAACGAGGGTCAGTCTACGGAGTGTGGGGTCATGTCTCCAGACACCCCCTTCCCTTCCAGCAGGCCACTCCCCCGCCCCTCCCCTCCTCCACCCCCCTTCCCCTCCCCAGTTGCAGGCCAAGGGCAGGGCCCATGGTACACCACTGCTCAGTCTGCAGGACCCTGGGCCGCAGGGGTCACATACATTAGTTCATGTCACCTTCCCTGCAGCCCCAGGAGGCTGGCGATGTCATCAGCCCGATTTTGGAGGAGGAGACAGGGCTCCTGGAGAGGCAGTGGCTTTGCTGGGATTCAGGTCTCCTTTCTATCCCCCCACCCAGAGAAACTCGCTCCGCCCACCATCATGGCCTCTGTGTTGGCCCCCCTGGAGTCGCAGGACTCGGTGACCCTGAGCTGCCAGTCCCCAAGCAAGGATGCCATCTTCCAGTGGTACATCGACAAGGAGCCGGCGGTGGGCAGTGGGCGGCTGGAGCTGTCCCCAGACCAGCGGAGCCTAACCATCCACCAGGTGTCCCGGAGAGACATGGGGCCTTACCAGTGTGAGGCCAAGAACCCCGCCGTCACCAGCCTCAGTGAGCCCCTGCTCCTAGATGTCATCTGTGAGTGCCCACCCCATACGCCCTGCCCCCCCGGGTCACTGCCCACACCCCCACTTCCTGGCGGGTGGTACTGTGGGGCTCCGGACCCAGGGTTGTAAAGGCAGGAGCAGCCACAGGTGTTCGCGTCTTTCTAAAGCATAGATTGGACTCTGCCCTTCCTTTCCTCCAGTCCCTTCCAGGGCTCCCTAGTGCCCTGGGGGAGCAGTCCAAGCCCTGAACCCGGGGCACAAGGCTGTAAGTCCCTGCCGGCCCTTCGCAGCCTCCTTTCTCACTGTCCCCAGCCTCTGCGCGTGCTGCTCTTCCGCGCCACCCTCCCCATCATCCCTCTGAGACGCGCAGGGTGGGTGGTAGTTCCTCAGGCACAGTATCAGAGGCGATCCCTCCTCCAGGAAGCCCTTCCTGGGTTTGATTTTGGAACTTCCTCTGTGCTTCCCCACCCCAGCCCTGCCCACCTCGGGTCATCAGCCTGGCACGGGTCGGTCTCACTCCCTGATCTGGGAGCCAGGGAGTGCAGGGCCAGGCCTGTCTAGGTCTTCAAACCCAGGATGGTGCCTGGGACAGAGGAAGGGCTCAGAAAAGCTTCTCGAGTAACTGGAAACGTGATCCCTCTCTGGGAGGTGTGAGTCTGCCTCTCACAGGCAGCGATGCTACTGGAACCGGGTGCCCGCATCTAGCAGATCCTGGTTGTGTTGATCCATTTGTCCACTCAACATATTCCAGGGGTTTTCAAAAAGGTCATGGAAAACACATATTATGAAAAAGGACATGGCGGGGGGACCAGCAGTTAGTGTAATGGCTATGTCGCTGGA